TCTACTCACTTGTTCATGGTGTGTCCCTAAGATGTGCTTTCTGACATTACCTCCACTTACTGAGATAAGTCGATCATTGATGATATTGATGGGAGGTCAACTCCAGTCTGTTCAACAAGACACATTGACTCCATTTTCTTCCCTGAGTCACTGGAAATATTAGTGGACGCTCTATATTCTTGCCAAGCACTTGGGTGAGCAGTCGTTGGTGTATCTTCCTTATTGTGATAGCCCCTGTGATCCTTGTTGCTCACAGTGATAATGAGTATTTGCTGGTAATTCGGGAGATTTTTAACATCTATGACTATTCCCAAGGCCTTCTCTTTTCTGTCTTTATTTCAGTTAAGTTATTTTTGTGAGACCTCAGTGTAATCATTCTTCTCTCTCTGACCTCTTCTTCAACAGGAAATGATGTTGGTATTTGATAATTCCGGAAAAGATCAGTTGTCTAGATACTTGTCCGTCAATGAGAATGATGGTAGAATCTGAAAATCTGTCCTGGTTCTAATATGTTAAAGTTTATTTTTTAAAGTTTATTTGATGATAAAGGGTAGGCTGTATATGAACACTTGGAAAATGCTCTAAAGAGATGCTAAGAGCCAAAGTGGAAAATTTAGTTCATGATCTTCATTTATATTTGTATTTATAATAGCTTTGTCAAAATGAGCACTCTATTGATGACCATTTAAGGTATTCCGATTAAATTTAAATTTCAAAAAAAGATGTATTATGTCTTAATAAATATGTAGTCTCAATATCAGAGTCTTTACTCAAAAAGTAGTAAAATCTTTAAAATTCCTATCCACAGTTGGAAAAATAAATTAGATGGAAATCATATCATTGTTAATCATGCTTAAAGGGAAATACTTGCATATTTAAATGACTATAGTCCCTTTATAGGATAGACGTATATTTTAACATTTTAAATCAAATATTGTACTATTTTATCTAATACGTACTTTCAATCTGACCAGCCTTTAGCAGTTTTAGCCACACCTTTTATGTGCTTATGGTCATTTAGATCAAATCCTTGCTGGCTTATTTACTGACCTATTTACCTCTGAATGATTTTAGAAATGAATCCCTACATCTGAGAAGGACTGGAAAACTCTACTTCCTCTGTGTAGACACTTCGGTGTAAAATGCTGGTCAGAATCCCCAGTGAGCTCATCTGTGGCAAAGTGATTAAATTAAGCAACAGTGAAACCATAAACAGCTAGATATGGCCACAGGTGACTACATCTGGGGCACCCGAGGAATTCCAGGTGCCCCCACAGATGTCACCACGCGGTTCAGGGAAGGCATTTGCGTGCAGGTCACATAGCTGGTTATGCATCCCACTCCTTTAGAAAGACCCACCAAAGCACATCAGAGGCTAACACCTGTGCTTTTATGTTAGCGGTTACCTTGATTATCTGAGTATAGTCAGTTATAGAACGGGAAGAGACCAGAAATCACACAATTTAAGCATTACCTTTTTTTATTTCTTTATTGATTAAGGTGTTACTTTTTTACTTAAGAGAGTTATGTCCAGAAAATAATTTACCCCACTTGAGGTCCTGGCTCTTGGTTTGTTGACTAGCACATGATATGGTGGTACGAAGCTGTATGTGTTTTTTGTGATCCCGGGTTTAAATCCTAAACGTCAGTTTTTAGCCATTTAAGTCATTTAACCTTTGTGAGCCTCAAGCTTCCTCTTCAGCGTAAAAGTAACATTTACTTCTCCAATTTTTTTAACATTAAATCAAATAATGTATGAGGTGGGGGAAGCTTTCCATTTTGACTAGCATCTAGCAGGCCTTCAGGAGAGAATGGTTCCCTGTTCTCTTTTACCTGAGCATCTTGAACCACCATCCTTCCTTGTGGGAAACCTCAAGTAGTCTCTCTGAGAGCTGAATCTTGGCCAGTCATCATGAGCTAAACACTACTAGCCAGCCCCAACGCCCCAGCAAAAATCAAGCTCAACCAAAAACAACTATTCTCAGTAATTCCAAGGCACGTTTCTAGCACCGGGCCAACACCAATGTCCCAAGTACCTTCCTTACGTCATTCCTGGTTAGATAACCTGTGCAGGATGCCTGATGGCATCGTAACAGGGGGAAGTCTGGGCTAAGGACACAGTCCCCACCTTTTCTTCACTCTTGCCCAAGTCACCCTGTCCCCATTTCCTCCATCTCTCCTTTCCCCACTTTCTGCCTTCCCCTTCTCCTTTTTTTCCCCTTGCAAATCAAATCTTGAACATGACTATCAATGCTCGTATTTTATTTGCTTCATTATGCCTCATTTGCATGTCATTGTAATTAGTTAGGTTAGTCAGAGCTTCATCTGCTGGCACTCCTCCTAAAATTCTTAGCAAATCTGTTATTTTATAACACTACATTGGACCCTCTCCATCTGATTACTGTATGTAACCCTCAATGTTGTTAAGTCTTTCCTAGTTTCCTTACAGCCCCATTTTTTTTTCTGAACTAGATATCTGGTTTACTCACAGTTCCCTGTATCCAGCATCTCCTATTCACATGGCCACAGAGAAATATGTTTCAGTGCTTTGTGAATAGATGGGTGCTGGATAGGAAAAAGAACTCTTGCATACATCTTCCCAGGGATGCAGAGCTATACTTCACAGGTAGAAATATAGTTAATGGAGGAAACATAGCACACATATATGTCAATGCTTCATTCGAGTTTCTTAAAGAATGAGGGTCATGGGTATTCAGAGAAAGGTGTTTCTGGTGAGAGGTGCTGCAGGAGAGATGACAAACTATGCTGCTTTTTGGGAGGTAAAGAAAAATTGTCAGTTAAATTGTAAAGATAGATTAGAGCAGTGAACTTCAACCTTGAGTATTTGTATCAATAATGAAAAAGGATTGGGTGTTATTTTAAAATAACTCCTATTTTATATTTCTTATTACAAATGACATAATGTGATGATAGAAACGTTAGGAAATGACAGTTATAAGAAAAAGAAAATAAAAGCTGGGGAAAAACCATTCCTCACCTGTATAACTGATAATGTTTTGTGTTTTCTGATGTTTTTCAATAGTAACACCAGGCCATGTAATGAAATGTTCTTATATAATATCATGCTGATTGTCTTTATAATATCATCTTTGTAGTCTTTTACCATGTGAAAATTTCATAATACAAGTTTATAAATATCTCTGTAGTACACATTCCCCTGTCTTTGCTGATATGCCCTCCTCTGCATGACACAGAGGGGTCCAGACAGGCCACAACTTTACCGAACTTTGGTATAGATAGTTTGCTCATTAACCATCTCCCTTTTTAAAAATACTTTTGTTGATTTCAGAGAGGAAGGGAGAGGGAGATAGACATAGAAATATCAATAATGAGAGAGTATCATTGATCGGCTGCTTCCTGCAGGTCCCCCACTGGATTTTGAGCCTGCAACCCGGGCATGAGTCATGACTGGGAATCAAACCATGACCTCCTGGTTCACAGGTCGATACTCAACCCCTGAGCCTCGCAGGCTGGCAGGCTGGGCATTATCCATCTCTTTTGTGTTTCTGTATGAATACTATTCTTTTTTGTGTGCATTCTTTAATGCTTTAATACTGATAATATTAAGTAACAAATTTGATGCAAAAATAGAAGGAAATGATATGTCATACTCTTGGCAGGGGCTATAATATCTGACCTGTAATATCCAGTGGATCCTATTTGAGGAAATACATTGAACCTGATATGATCAAAATAGGGTTAATTCAATCAGCTATAATAACATTATTATAGCTGATAATAAGGACTCAGCTATGTCTTTTGCAGAAAAAGGAAGTTGTACTTAAAAAAATAAGTTAGTGGCTATATTTCAATCAACCAGTTCGATTTCTAAAAACTATTATCACTATATCAACAGTAACGATGTCTATTGATCACATACTCTGCATCTCACAAAAACACCTTGAATAGTTTCACTATAATTCTATTTTACAGAAGAGTTAAACTCAGGCACAGGGAGGGAGTAATTAGCCTGAGGCTCAACAACAAAAAATGATAAAATTAAGTTGGGATAGAAACTCAGGCTGTTTGGACTCATCCTTAACCACTACTGTTTTAACACCTAGATATAAGTGCTTTTCCAGTTTATTTCAATTAGAGAACTCCAATAAAAGAGTATTTACATTACAGGATGGGGTGAACATTTCCACAAAGCAATGCACAAGTAAAATGCAATCTCCAGCAGGGAGCCGCAAGCTGCTCTTTCAGAAATGGGCTAATTCATATTTCAAGGAATGAAATAAGTCAAAACTAATTTAGAGTTTTGGCTTTGAGAATATAAAGTTGGACTATATTGGGGAATGCAATCCAGAAAGGCAGTTAAGCTACATTTTAATTATTCACAATTAAACAGAATTGTGTCCACAAATGCCTGCTTGGAAAGTACTGTCAACTTTGAAAAGACCCACAATATTTGAATTTGGAACTTGTAATGGACGCATCCTTTCTCAAGATACCAGCATCCTTCTTGAGAATGAAGAATGCTGCCTGGTGGGAGAGCAGTGCCGGACAGCGGTGCGGAGACTGGGCGCCCGAGTCAGATTGCCTGGATCTATACACCCACTACACGTGCAATCTTGGGCAGAGTTCTGACCCTCGCTTTCTCTTCTATCCCACATGACTGTTCTGAAGATTGAAAAATGCATATAAAGCACATAACATAAATAAATGTTAGCCAGTGTGATGCTAATTAATAATGATTAGTGGATTCTCATACTCCCTCTAAACATTGGTAATCCCAGTCAATTTCTACTAGCAAAGTGCATCTCTCTAGCAAGTGTCCAGCCAGAATCAGCGCTGTATCTGAGGCCCACACGAAGACAGCTCCCTTTCCAGTTAGGTCTTCTTCAGCCTTAGAAATCCTTGAATATATTTCATGCTCTCCCCCACCCCCTTAATAGTAAAACATAAGATGTACACAACATTTTTTAAAATATGTGCTGGCCTGTGGTTTATATTTATGAATGGCTCTTATTCTTCAGGTCAGCTTCTGGAAGCTGCCGAGCATTATGAAGCATTCCATCAATTGACGCAGGGGCGGATATGGAAGGATGGGGCAGGCCGCTTTCTCAACTTGTTGGCCTGCGAGAGTCTCCTGAGGACGTACAGATTACTCTCAGACAAAATGCTGGAAAATAAAGATTACACACAGGCCATCAGAATTCTAATAAAAGCTTCTGAAATAGCCAAAGAAGGTAAGTGGGAAAGAACACTCTCACACGGCTTCCTTTAATGGGCAGACGCTGCTTCTCCCGAGAGAGACATAAACTTCGTCAAGTGTTTGGGTGATTATTTCCTATGAAATGCAAAGACAAATGCCATCAATATCCTTTCAGATTTCACTGTAAAACAGAGGAGCCTTAATGCTGACAACAAGAAATCCATTAGTTTCTTGAAAGCTTTATCTCCAAAATTACAACCTTCTGGGAGGAGTGTTATAAAACAATGAGCCCATAATGAGAAAGTAAGGTCATTTGCAAAAGTTAAGTGTGTGTGCTCGTGTGTGTGTGTGTGTGTGTGTGTGTGTGTGTGTGTGTGTTTAAGGTCTTTTATTCTTATAATCTGATAGTCCTTTCATTGTTTGTAAATTCCCCATTGTCATGAAATAGGGACGATTTGATAAATATTAGGAGTAACAGGAAAATAGAACTCAAATATATAGTAGACTCTTGCCTGTCATGGTGTGGCCTTAGGGCTGGCAGCATCAGCCTCCCCAGGAAGCATGTAAGAAAAGCAGCAACTCGGGGCCCCACCTGAGACTTCCTGCATCAGAATCTGCAGGTTAGCAAGTTTCCCAGGTGGTTCGCATGCACATTACAGCAATAGAAACGCTTTTGTGAAAGGGGAACCTTGATATTCTGTATCATTTGCATACATATAAAGTATTTAAAAATTGTGCAGCATATACTCACAAGCTTTTACTTTGTGAAATGCAAGGGTATTTTATTACCATTCTGGAAGCCCAGTGCACGAAATTCTTATATTGAGGTGGGGGTTCCCCTCAGCCCAGCGTGCATCCTCTCACAGTCCTGGAGCTTTGCGATTGATCACCCCACAGAGGGAGGCCCCGCCCACCCACCACAGCCTGCTGGCCAGTGGCCTGGGCCTCCCTCTTTGGGGCAATTGTTGATCCCCTGATTGATTGCCCCAGTGTCTGGTGGCCTGTGCCTCCCTCTGCAGGGTGATCATGGGACAGTGGCTGGGCCCCCAACCAACCCAACAAATCACAATGCACCTTCCTTGGCTAGCCTGGCACCAGTGGGTATCATAACATGGTAGTCTGGATGATGGTTCTGCTGTTCAGCCGTTTGGTCAATTTGCATATTATGTTTTTATTATTACAGATAGTAATTTATTAATAGAGTAGCCTTTTCATGAAGGAAACAAGATAAAAATTATGCTCTTGACCTGAAGTTTACTGGCTTGTGGATATATTTGCCCTATTGCAATAACAGATGGCTTATTTGGAATAAACAAAACTGATTTTTCTGGGTGTGATTTTAATTTTCTAAGGAGTAAAAGTAAACACCTTAGCTTATTCTATTATGTGTTTTAATGATATTAGTTGGGATAGCCATAGGAAATCACCCCCTCCCTTTGAAATACGTATTTCACTGCATGAACTACTTTTGAATGAATGGTGATCTAGTACCTTACCCATAGGGTGAAAAGTGATGTAAATACTTAGCTCTTAGATCAATTGCAGCAGCTGACTTTAGTTACCTGGAAAGTTGTGTGTGGAATTTCAGTGTAAATATCAATTAGGAAAAGGTATTTTGCTTTAGGTTTTCTTTTGCTAAATTGTAAAGTTGTTCACAAAGAAAAAAAAATGGTTCCCATCAAGAATCTTGAAAATAAAAACAGTATTTTCTTTAAGATAAATGATTATTGATTTAGAGAGCAAAGCCAATATTAATTCAACCCACTCAAACTACACAATATAAATAGTATTTTCCCCTTTGCTATATGTGTCACTCAACTTTAATAGTGCTGACATTCCCCTCCATTCTTTCACTGCTTTCACTTTATCTTAACTTTTTCTGAACTAGTAAGCAGGAAAAATTTTCATGCTTAAATCCCCTTTAAAAACTAATATTTGATGTGATCCAGTCATTTATTAGCTGCCTCAAAATCTATCAACCAGGGCAGATTTTCTTTCTCTCCTCCTCTTTGCTGGGATGCCCTTCACAAAAAAAGTAGACGCAAATGATAATAATACATCAGTGCATGCTATAATTAGTGGTTTAATTCAGTTACTCCATTTAACACAGCAAATCACATACAACCAACTTTTAATCATTCCAGGGCCACTTCCCTTCTCAGCCTCTTCTTTTTACCCCCTTTCTCTCTTTCCTAGTCTCACCCCTACCCCATCACTTATAAACCTATTCCTAAGAAAAAGTTAATGTCCAGGTACATTTTTAAGAATTAAAATTCCCTAGACTGGATCTACTGGTCCCTTTTAACTCTGCTGACTGGAAATCTTAAGGGTATAATTCTCTGCAATTGGTGTAATGGCTAGAGAAGAAGAAGAAAAATACAGCCACTGGCATATCCTGTTTTCTTGCAGTCTTCCAAATGAGCCAAGCTTCACAAGGGATAATGCACTGAGTGCTGAGCATGAAAGCAGCACCGAGAATTGCTGGCTCCTGCTGACATTCATCATGGTTGGAATGCAGAGTTCAGAAATGTAAAGATACTTACTTTCTAAATATCAGAAGTGAGGGTGCTCCTGTCAGCATTTGCATTACCTAGGTGTTAGTTAGGTGACATTGAAAGCCAATGACTTCCAAAAGTAGAAGGAAGATAGTTTTCTTTTCATGTTTAAGCATCTTGAATGGTTTTTATAAGTATATCAGATGTATATGTCATATTTTGTATATTAAACGTGAGTAAATTATGTTTATGAGATGGTGTGATGTATGTATTATTGAGCCACATGTTGCATGTTTACTCATTCTACTTTTGGAAAGGAGAATTTGATAATTCCTGGAATAAAGCACCTTAAACAGAAATAAGAAAGGTTTAGTTCCTCGTGAAAAGATGATGACAAAGAAAGACAAATAACTCAGTCACTTTCATCCAAATTTTAACCAATAGCTTTTAAATTGAACTTAGTAAAAAGTTCATTTTAATTTGATAATTATCTGCTCTGTTAGAGACTTAGCTGAATATCAATTTTGTGAATGCATGTTTGTGCATCATGTAATGTTGGTTCTCTTGACTGATTATTTGATGTATGTATTATAGTAGCAGCTATGCTAGATGACTATAGGTCTTTACATGATGGACCAGCATGGAAATTATACATGAGTCTGAAAATGATAATGCCTGTCTATGCATGTAGAGGATAACTCCTCATGATTATATTGCTTATACACTTTAACGTCTGTGATTCAGGTAAATTGAGAAACAACAGACTTTTAAAAAAAAACAATTAGATCTCAGGGATTGTTGATAAATGTGTATACGTTGTAACTGTCTACTGTCTTCAAAGCAAATATTCTGTTTGTTGTAATGAATCAATTTCTTTAAAGTCACTATAATTTTTTGCATTTTCTCTTTAGGAAATGACAAAAAGATGGAAGGGGAAGCTTCCTATTATTTGGGCTTAGCACACTTGGCTGCTGGAGAGCATGACATAGCATTAGCAGTAAGTTGAACTAAATGTTTAAGTGTTCCCACTTAAAATTTTTGTTTTATTATATTTTATTTTATTGTATGTTGTTATAAATCCAACAGATATGGACTATATATATATATATATATATATATAGAGAGAGAGAGAGAGAGAGAGAAAGAGAGGAGAGACTAACACAAAAACAATATTCTGGAAGCACAAAAAGTTGCTTTTATTGTTTATAAAAGGTTATACATAGTCAATTACCATTCAGTGCTTTGTAATATATGAAAATTAAATATATAAAATCATGTAACTGTCTATATTCTCATATCACCAAGGACAAGAGGAAATGGGCAGCAAAAATAAGTAGTAAAAAAGTTACTAAAGGCCCTGGCGGGTAGCTCAGTTGGTTGGCGCATTATCCAGATACTCCAAGGTTGCAGGTTCAATCTCTGATCAGGACACATACAAAAAGCAACCAACAAGTGCATAACTAAGTGGAACAAATTGGCATTTCTCTCAGTATATAGCAGGCATTATGCCATGCACTGAATCTGTTCCATAATTTTATACAATAATAGTGGTGTAGGATAGTCTAGTAATGAATGTTATTATGAAACTAATACACAGAGTGATTAGAAAAGATAATTCACATAAGATTTTAAGACCACCTTCCCTGTATATAATAAACCTTTGATAATGATTAGCTTTTAGCACTTCTACCCTGACCTCAGTTTCTGGTCATTAGTAGATGTGAAGGTGGGGACGAGTAGATGCAGTTGTTCTGAAAGACTTGGGAATAGAGTAAATGTGGGAGGTGAGGGAGAAAGAGGCGTCCAGATGGACAGTAGTTTCCTGGCTGTGGAGCTGGATAGATGCTGGGCTCATTCACTGAGGCAGAGAATGCTGAAGGGCGCCAGCCTTATGGGGAAATGGAGAGTTCAGTTTTGAATATTGAATTTTGAGGACATTTTGATATCTCCAAGAAGAGATCAAATAGACAGAAGTACATGTGGGTCTGGACACAAAAGGAAATCTGGATTGGAGATGCTGCATAGACTTCACATTGATAACCGTGTCACTTTAAGCACACCAGAGCTGAGGAGTGGAGGAGCTTTCCTGTGGTAGGTGGACAGTGTTTGATGAAAAAGTCCTAGGGCCAACCTGGGTGAAGGAGGTACAAAGGGGATTAAGCAAGAGTATCCATGGAAGTGGGAGGAAAATCAGAAATAGATGATCTGACCGAAGATAAGCTAGGGGAACTGGCCATGTTTAAAAGACTTAACTATGCCAACTCCTCTGTCTCCTATCCGGGTTTTGGACCGGAATAAGAGAGCTCCTTGCAGATATTTTCAGTAAGAACGTATCCCCATCCCTTAGGCAAGTACATGGGTTAGTTAGGGTTAGTTAATGTTTGTCATTGAATTCCCAGGTAGGGCAGAGGCTTTGGGAAACCAGGCAGGCCGCACTCCAGGCCTTGGGCTCATTGCTGCACTCACCATACAAGAGCAGCCTTTGCCGTTGTGAAGAGTTGGGAGCTGTCATGGTAGAGTATTGCTGCCTTTTGGGAACACAGCTGACCCAGAACTGAGGCCTTGCAGGAAACAAGCATGAGATTTGGGCCAGACCCACAGGTAGAGCTGCAGGGTCAAATAATGGGTTCTGTTGTCAGGTCTGCACATAGGATGCCAAGAGCAAATTTGAGGAGCCACGAAGGATTGGGGTGTGGCTGGGTGGAGAATGGACACTGAGCAGTAGATTTGTGGCATGGAGGTCTTCCAGATCAGGCTAGTGGCAGAGAGCAACTGGTTTCGGTGGTTGGGCTCATATAAAATAGATTCCCACAAAACCTGACATCTTGCTTGGATCTCAGGTTGAAGGCCATGTCTTTTCTTCCTTTCTAGTATCTTACTTCAGCCACTTTCCCCTGTTTCCTTTCAGGGATAATAGGGCATGCTTCAGACTACCATTTGATTCCCCTTTCCCGTTTTGTTTCTGGACCTGGGAGCTCCTCATGTTACATAAACCATTTATTATTATTTATTTGCAGACTACAGCGTGTCTTTCCATCGCAGTCTCTCTCTTTCCAACAGCATTGCTTCTAGTTTACAAGATGTCTCTTACGATCCCGCAACATATTTTACTTATTTAATTAATATATTGTGAAAAAAGTCACATGATCAGTTTATAATAGGATTGATTACTTGATTGATTAGATATCTGTCCAGTTATCAAATCATACAGTAAAAATTCAACATAAATTTTTTTAAAATCTTTTATCCTTTGTTCCCTCCCTGTGCAGTATTACCACCACCATTGATGGTGGTTCTGTCTCAGTGTGCCTGTGAAGGGGGCCAGAATGCTCAGAAACCAGCTTTGTGGTGCTGGAGCCAGGGTCACAGCTTGTGGTTAGAGCTAGCCCTTCCTTCCCTCTTACTCAGTCTAGGTTTAGTGTTCATCAATTCCATACACTACTTTTATTTTCTCACTTGTAATTTAAGTTTGGAATTTAGAACATTTTCACATATTCTGTATCTTGCCTCTAGATTTGATCTCCACCTCTCACTGATATCCCCCTTCCAATAATGCTGTTCATCTGCTTAAAGACTTTTACATGATTTTTCAGAGAAACTTGGCTTAGAGAAACCTGTCACAGGAAATATATCTAATTGAAGGTTCTGATGATCATGAACAGATGATCATCAAATTTTCTAATTTATCTTAACTTAAAGGCTTTAATTTATTATATATGATTAATACATGTAATATAAGAATATGTTGACAAGTATATGAATACAGTCTGGCCATCCATTCCTTGCTGATAAAAAGTTATTTCCTCTGTGACAGAATAGAGCTAACCTAAAAACAAATAGTGGATTTCTTTAGGGCTGAAGTACCGATAGTAATGAGGGAAAGGTATTTGGAGAAGAGAAAGGACAGTTACTCTAATAAACCTGTGCATGAGGTCATGGAGACCCTGACATTTAAAGAGGAGAATGTTACCTGCATATGTCAGGTGCTGAGAAAAGAAATAGTCATCCCCTTTGGCCATCATCAATTAGGCCTATAAATGCTCCATGTAGAATAAATTCTGAATTTTAGAAGGTAAATCTTATGAAGTTCTAAGGTTTTAGAGAGAAAAATTTAGTGGGGGACAAAAGTAGGTTAATAATAATAATAAATAATGCAATAATTAATAAGGGAATAATAATATAAGAATAAACTGTTTCACATATGCACAGCTGTAAACCTGCACATTTAAGGCCTTGTGCAAAGTTGGACCAACTTTCGTAGTCAGATATTGCAACTATGAAATTATTTTAAGAAAAAGGAAAGTCCTCCCTTAGCACATTGTTTTTATACATGAATTTTCTTCCTCTCTTATCCTTTATTCCACTTAAAAATTTGGGGAACACCATCTTTAAATTTACTCAAGCTGTAGTATGTTCAGTGAATTATTTGTTTCCTATTATTTAGCAATAATGCAGCCTACCAAAAATTATATTATGAAAGCAAAATTCATTCTATTGATTTAATTTTTCTGTATACAAAACAGGTGCTCTCTATTTGCATATGTTGACATCTTTATAATAGTTTAGAATGCTTTCAACATTGGTGTTAATGTATGTCTAGAGGCCTGGTGCTCAGATTCATGCACAATAAAGGAAATTAATTAGAAGGGACTGGGTGAGACAATCTCCCGTGATCCCTCCCTAATCTGCTGCACCTGGGGCAGCAGTGGGGCTCAAAGGGTGTCTGTGGAGTGAGCAGGGTCCCTCCAGCAGGTGAGGTCCCTCGTCCTGGCCTGCAGAGATCGGGCTGAAACCGGCAGTCCCAGAGTATGAGAGGGTATTCTGCAAAGTTGCTGTAGCTCAGCTGCCCCCTGTTGGTCATCATACCTACTGGCATCATACTCTCTCCACACACCCTCCCACCAGTACACAACTAGCACTTACTTCCTTTCATTCCAAACATTTGCTAAGTAGAGAAATGTTCAAAATATCCATTATCTGACAAGCAAAAAAAAAAAGATGATAGGATTAGAACACACACCCATATGAGAAGAAAATAGTCATAATTCCTAATTTTAAAAAAATTATTTATTTCCAAACTGCATAAAATTCCATTATGCAAAATTATAAAGCAATCATCTAAGGCATAGGCTATGCAAGAATTCCATATCTGATATTATTTATTACCTTTTTGAACAGGTAGACTTACTTGGAAGATAACATTTTAAGTAGTTCATAAAAATGTGTTTTAATAATTTGGTGATTATTAAACTGTAAACTGTTTTACTAATAATCTGCTGCTACTGTCTTTGTATTTAAAGACATGACTTTTCTAAAATATTAAGATAGATAATCTTCCAGTAATAACTAGATATAAATTTCTGGAGCAAAAAATTGTTGGCAGACTAGAATTTTAGTAAATTGAATGTGGTATATTTTAAAATATCCTCCTTATTTGAGTTTAGTTCTATTTATACCTTTTTCTTCTGTTTAATTTTTGAATCCTTCTCTTTTCGGATAACATTTTCCAATGTTACAGATTAGAAAAACAGTGTATGTAGGGATTTTTTTTGAAATGATGAATATCTAATGGTATTTGTCATATAAATTATAGTATTTGTCATTTAAATGATAACAAATTACAGAAAAAGAAAAAAATCAAGAAAAATGAAAGTCTGTCCTTTTAAAATCCTATATAATAAAAGAGTAATATGCAAACAGCAGAACAACCAATCAAAATGTAATATGCTAATGGTATACTAAGGCTGCTCAACTGCTCAGCATGGCATGCACTGACCAACAGCCATCAGATTCTCTGACTGGTAGGTTAGCTTGCTGCTGGGGTTCGGCCAATTGGGACTGAGCGAAATGGGCCAAACATGCCCTGGAGCCCTCCTGTGGTACCTCCCCAGCCCAATCGTGCACTGGTGAGATCCCTCAGCCTGGCCTGTGCCTTCTTGCAACCCAGTACCCCTTAAGGGATGTCGGAGAGTTGGTTTCAGCCTGATCCCGCAGACT